AGATAATAATAATAATAATAATAATAATAATAATAATAATAATAATAATGATAATGTAGATCAATACGCCCACTCCTGTAAGAACACAGTTCTATGCGCTTTACATAAATGCATGTAAGGACTGCGCGCGCGCACCCCCCCCCCCCCACACACACACAAACACACACCCACACTCACACACTCACGCACAGATTATACGCACACACGTCGAGTCACGCAGGCTGTCATGTGTTCTTTTTTTCCCCCCAAGTTCTGACCCTCTCTTGTGAAGAAAACTGAACTCACATTGCTTTTTGCCAATAGACAAATCTTGTTAGTCTGCACGTTTTATTCATAATACATGTATTTGCTAGATTCGAGTAGTAAGGTAAGGATTAGCATTGGGGTAGAGGAAAGACAGGCAAAGAGCTACCCTAAACCTATCCCTGCCCTTAACCATAGCCTCATTCTTACTGCATTACCGACCCGAATCCAGCAAATAAAGATAAAAAGTGCAGGCCTGAAAGGCCTCCCAAATCTTTCTTGGTTTTTTTAAATTTCCGTTTCTTAAATAATGCAACTTATCCACAGGCTTAAAATACATGTACTCACATGGCACAGGTATACCCATAATATGTCAAAATATGGACATGCGTCTATACTTACGAGAACTCATTGGTAGCGTCTGTATATCACTGACAAGTTAAGCTCTATACCCCCTCCAACACACACACACACACACACACACACACACACACACACACACACACACACACACACACACACACACACACCAACTTCCTAAATGCATCCCCCAACTGTTAAATGCTCCCCCCCCCCCCACACCACACACCAACAGTTTAAAACCCAGTCATTCCTTTAACTTATTTTTCTTTCGACAAGACTGCATGCATTCGCAACCTTTGTTGTTTATTTGTTGTTTTCCATTCGTCCTTTTGTCTTCATAACATTTACATAATATTATGCATATATACAATATACAATCTGTTCAATGGCATAAATGAATATTTTCATACTCTTTAACTTTATTGTAAAATAACTAGGTTTTGTTGCATCGTTAAAATCTTCATCATTCATGCCATAACCCCCCACCCCCCAATCACCACCAAACATAACCAATGTCACCAAATTCATCATCATCGTCATCATCTTCATTGTATTTTGCTGTATTGTCATCATCACCAACATATTATCATTATGTTTATCTTCGTATTTGCCGTTGTCTTCGTCGCCTTTGTTGTGGTGGTCATTATCCACAGCATCCTGTTTTGTAAATATTCAAAATGTCAGTATGAACACCAGCTTCTGAACTCTTCTTTGAAAATGCGATGTAAGATAAATAAATTGGGTATCACTTTGATCTCTAAGTATCTTCTGTTTCTTTTTCTTTCTTTTTCATTCTTTTATTCAAAACAAAACAAAATGCAGGTTGAATCTGTCTACCAATCTCTGCCTGTCAGGGCCAATTAGGCTGAGAAGGATACATCATCCCAGCAGGAATACCGAGATATTCGGTACAAATTCTCCCCACTCGGGAATCGAAGTCAGGTCTGCTGTATGCGACAGCGAAGCGCCTCGCCGCTACGCCACAAATACCGAAAGAAGAAGAAGAAGAAGAAGAAGAAGAAGAAGAAGAAGAAGAAGAAGAAGAATTGTATTTATAATTTATATGGCGCATTTCTATGTTCTACGTCATGCTGTATGTGCTCTAGAACTATATAATTATTTGACCGAGCAGATCCAAGAACACTTAGAAACAATTTCGGCTTCCCGGGAAGCATACAGCGCAAGCAGCCGATTAAGCGCTAAAACACTAAAAAAAAACCCCGACAAGAACTTAGACTGCCAACAGCCGGGTACCAACTTCTGCTTGGATGAACTGAAGACAGTTGTAGTTTTAGTAAGGTTTTACGGCGCTCGCACTGCATAAGGTCACACATGAGAGCCAAGGGATGGATATGAACAGAGAAGTCCAAATAGGGAATCAGGATTACTCTGCAAACCTCTCTAGCCTTCACAGCAGAAAATCTACTTCGACTATCAAAGCACCCTGGAAATAGCTATTCACAAGAGAGTGACAAACATACAAAAGAAGTAGAGGAAAAATGACGATAGTGATGGTGAGGAAAGAAAAAGCAGCAGTTCTCATGCACAGTAGAACTGTAAATGGGCTGATTTATCAATGATATGCTCATACTGTGCCGGAACAACATAGGGGGAACTGAAGCCATCCCGTGCCTTCCCTAAAGACACAACATCGGGTCTCTGACAGGGTTCGAACCCATGATCTTTCTGTTACAACTCCCCATTCTCGTTTTACAAGTCCGACAGGGGGGTAGGGGAGGGGGGGGGGGGG